GGGCCTGGAATTGCAAATATGGGAGCCCTTCCCCCTGGATTACTGGTGTCTACAGGGAATCTTGCAGCTGTGTCCAGATCTAATATCAGGTGGTGGGATCCTTGCTAATTTCGGCCGCTAATTTCTAACTAAATAAGATCCAAATAGCAGCCATTACAGAGGATGATTTCTGCTGCTTCCATCTCATATCCTTTGTCAGCATCATAAATATTAAAAAAAAATTTTTTTCTATAATTATTTCCTTTCTTAATAACTCTCTCTCTCTCTCTCTCTCTCTCTCTCTCTCTCTCTCTCTCTCTCACACACACACACACACACACACACACACACACACACACACACACACACACCAAACCACACACATACATATATTCCCCTAATGTACTCTTAGGCTTCATTCACATGCAATGTCTATTTTCTAAATTCTATTTTCTATTCGCGGTATGTCTTATGATCATGGTCTGTGCCCTGAATATCCCGCCGCGTAATTACTGGCAGCGCGAGCCAGTTACTATAAGTTACTATAAGTAACTGGCTCGCGCTGCCAGTAATTACGCGGCGGGATATTCAGGGCACAGACCGTGATCATAAGATAGTGCGAATAGAAAATAGAATTTAGAAAATAGACATTGCATGTGAATGAAGCCTTAGTGTCCAACCTACAGCACCTTCCTTCCTGACATCAACATTACAGAGCTGCAAACTCAGAGCATGAAAGTACAAACACATTAATTGTACAAACACCAAACACTGGAAATTCCATGTGTGTGACAAATTTCTCCTCTCTTCAGATGTTTACTTACACTTATTCCTCATTAATGCCCACATGCTTAAAGAATATCTCATGGTGAAATTACATGAGTGTAAACAGTTTCTAAGAAATAGCTATAAGGAAGGGGGGCTTGTGTGGGAGGAGAGAGAAAGACAGAGAGAGAGAGAGAGAGTGAGTTTTTTACTGGATTTTACTGGATTAAAAGAGAATTTATTAAAAGAGATAATCAGAGAGAACGAGATGAAACCTGTATTTCTTTTCATTATCACAATTCAGAAAAACAGTTATAACAATTCAGAGAAAACTGAATAAGGATCCAAGAAAAAAAGGTTAGGGATTGCTACCAAAAAACACTGCTTTCCTTTCACACAGAGAGTTCCACAATAACCTGTCACTCAATAGACCTGTTAGGAAAACTAATAATTGCGCCAGGCATGGCAGGTGCAGCTGCAGCTCACTTCTGGCTCTGGGAAAATTTCTCAGAGCTTCTAGGTAATCAGATTCTATAAATATCCCACATCACCTGTCACACTATGGTTATTGTGCCTCATAGCTCAGCTGCCAATCTGCTCTTACTATTTTCTAATTTTTTTTTCTTCGTTTTTCACTGAACAAGACTGTTTCTTAATGTCAAGACATTCAGGGAGAGTTCAATTAAGCCGCTATGGGTTCCTAGTATTAAGAGTGGCGCAGCTGGCTTTTAAGACCAGATCTCACCATCCCTGGTGTCTGAATGAGAAGAAATTAGCGGAATGTATCTGTACTTCTTTACTTATCAGTTCATAATATCACAAACCCACAGATGTGGCACAGTGCTCCCTTACTAAGTGAGTTCACTTCGGGGGATTGACAATGAGAAAATATGGAATATTATTGATAAATTTGTGGCATGCACCCAGATGCACAGAGCACATTAAACACATGCGGTCGTGTGGTAGCATGCACCTGCATTTTAAAAATGAAAGATGGGAGAGATTACAGTATACTGAATATTTAAAGAGCTATTTCGTTCTTTGCATCTGGTATCTATAATTTTCGTCATAGGGTAGAAATAATCCATTTCTGATGATATAACTGTCAATTTACCACTGATATGGTTCAATATTGGAAAGGATCATATTCATGCTTTTTGTACAAGCCTAGACATGTTCAATTCAAAATCCATTTCCCCTCCCGATCCTTCCTGCCCCCCCCCCCCGCCCCCCCCCAGCCTGATATCCTTTGGGACATATCTGCCACTTTGCTTGCTTTTGGTAGGCCAGATGACTTCTACATCAGGGGCCTTGAATTGGGATTACAGGAATCCCTCAGCTAAGTGTTAAATCTGTATTCCCTAAGCATGTATGTGTTCTTACTATTATGAACTGCTAATACATTTGCACTGTACAGCAAGCTGGCTCGGGAGTGTTATTGAAACCAGCCATCGTTTATCACTGTAAACCAATTGTACATCGTAGTGCCCGTCTTCTTGAAATAACAAATAACACAAGTTGCAAAACATCAACAGAACTATTTCCCCATCTGGGTTTGATGAAGAAGGGCAACATTTTTGTTATGGCGCGGGTCACAGAAATGAGTCTTCCAGATTTTTCCCCGCCACACTGGCGCCAGAGCTGATGGTTGGAACATATGGGCCCCATTCTTTAGCAGAGTTTGAAAACCTTACACCTTCTCTTCACTTCAACACGTGGATATGATAGCTCACTCTAAACATCAGCCCAAAGCAACACACAAGGCAGGATGGCTATTTTGCTATTGGAGGAATTCTGAGTATGGATATATTTTTCCGGGCTCTCACTCACAGTGTGAATCTGAAATTTTTACTATTTATATTTAAAGATTGCATTAATTTTTTTTTTTATCATCTCTTTTTTACATGAAATTCATTATTCTGGATTGACTTATTGTTAATTAAAAATAAAATATGAATAGAACAAATCGACGGCAGGATCTACTTTGTCTTGTGAAAAAAAATTAGGATATAAAACATTTCTTTTTTACTTTCTCATATATTATTTTATCAGCATTTCTATCGTTCATAGTGGTTAGAGAAATTCTTTACTGCACAAGTTTGAGGTCCCAGAAACTGAAAAAATTCAACTCAATTACTGTGACCTCTTTTGTGTCCTCCCCCCCCCCCCCCCAATTTTTTTTACTGAAATAAGATACTATCACATTTTTAAACATGTACTTTTGACATGAATAGTTTGACACTGGAACAATAAGGGTCATAGTTCTTTCATTCTTTTCTAATAAAATATTAGTCTTTTTTATTGAATGCAGACTGTAAACCTTTATTGCAATATTGTTTCCACAACAATATATAAACAGGTGTGTGTGTGTGTGTGTGTGTGTGTGTGTGTGTGTGTGCAAAAGAGAGAGAGAGAGAGAATAAACAAACAACACACACTATCTTAACGTACAGCATTCTACCCATTACAATCTAACCTCACAAAAGCCATAACTCTAAAGCCTAAAGTTACATATTTCCCTTTTATCTTCCACCAGCAAGGTTGATTTTAAACAAAATCTTACCTAAAAGCAAGGGGAGCAAGGTGTGTGTATGGCTTTGCTGATAATACAGGAACACCTTAGTCTATCAGTAATAATAAATCCCCCTATGTACTGTACAGTGCATCGACCACACTCACAACATCAATGCTATATCAGCAGTCATACTGTTGGGTGAAGTATCAATAACAAAACAACAATTACATTACCCATACAATATCAAACCAAGGATATCAAAACATGCAATCCAGGAAGCGAAATGATATTTATTATGGTGACTGGCTTGTTATGAACTTTGTTTGACATGCTAGTTGTACAAACAGAGCCCATATTAAATTTACAAATGGAGTGCTGCCACGGGGAAATATCAACTTGACTGAATGTAAAATGCAGCGATGAAAAAAAGAATGAAAAGTGGTTACAGTTATCGTGAGTCTCTTTGTTGTTGCTGTTATTATCGTTCCCTTTTTCTGCCTTTGAAATACAAAATCAGAATTCATATATGAATTCAAAGCAGCAAATGTCACTGTGGACAAAAAGATGAAAAAAAAATCAACATGCTACTATGAAATGAAACAATGCAACAAAAACTGTTAAAATCTCTATAGATCTTATTTCAAGAGTGTTACTTCTTGCTATCAACAACAACCAAATGAGATATCCTGTATGTGCAACAGCAGAACTCTTAATTTTTTTGTTCTCATATATCATTTCCCCCCTGAAAGACACATGCACCTCTATATTTTTTATGAAAAATTCATTCATGGCCTGATTCATATGAGTCTTGCCATAGAACATGTTGATATAAATAGACTAGAGGTAAACCCAATTAAGAATTAATCATCTTACAGAACTGAACATTTTCTTAAGGGTGAAGCATATACTGTAGCATTTAAGAAAACCATAACAAATATTAACAATCAAGCAAAAGTTAAAATTTTACTAATCCAATCACTCAGACTTTTTAGAGATATAATGTGAGTTTATGCAATTTATAATAAATACTATAAAAATTAAATTCAGTTTTTGAATAAACAATATCATGGCACACTGATAAATTTATGACCTGTGGTATTACCATTATTTTGGTCTCTGAAACGGAAGTTTACATCAAACATTTCATCTGCAGCAACCCAAACAGGAATACACTGGCAGTATGAATATCTCCCCCCCCCCCTCCACCCCACCCCTCTGATATAAACAATAAAAGATTCAGAATTACTCATACAAATGTGTGCATTGTTGCTGGTAGCAGATAATATTAAAACCAAACCCACCTCACCAGGTGTTTCAATTCCAAACCAGGTTCATATTGTTAATTTATATCAAAAAAACAACTCTTTAATAGTAAAATTGGGGACAATTGATAGGATTGGGTTGGATTTTACTTTTAAGATTTATGTATATATGGGGACTTTTGTGTTTTGGCTCTCCTGTATATAAAATATGAACTTAAACTAAATGATAATTTAATAAAACATGATATCACTTCTTTTTCTTGAAAATAATCTTGCAAAATAATAATCTCTTAGATAAGGAATCCTTCATTGCCTTCAGTGGTTGTAGATCTCAAAGATAAAATACACCAGGGCAAAACCAAAATGCTTGACATGAACTGCAGTGATATCTTCACACAACAACTGAAGTGGAAAAATATTATATACAACATATAGTTGATTAAAAAGCAAATAATTAAATTAAGAAAAATCTGACTTACTGCGATGGTGGCAGAATTCGAAGGAAAACACCCCGTGATAGCGTTGAGGATGAGACTTCATCAAACTTAATAAGTTAATTGGTTTGCGCTCAAGTCTATCCTCTTGTTTAGCCATGACACAAATCCAAGGAACACAGACAGTTTTTCTATCTCCAGGAAAAATATAGTGTTCCTGCAGTCCACAAATTTTTTAACCGATGAAGAAAAGTATTATATATTTACGATGTTACACCCTCCTTGCTTCTCCTGTCACTTCATATATGTCAAACCACAAGAAAATATATCACAGATTTTTTCCCTTTCTTTCAGAAAAAAAGATATACTGTTATATAACAATATCCAAAATTACCACTTTTCAGATAACCTCCCACATTTTGTCCGGATGGTCAGTGAAAGGATTCCAGCATCCAGTATCTCCAACCTGTCAAGCTCTCTCAAGCACACAGAACCATGAGCTTGGTGGAACACAAGGCATGCCTCAGCTGCCAGTTAGCATTTGACTGAAAGCAACTAATCCAGTCCAGCCGACTCCTAAAGTGGTTCTCACCCAATGAGATGAAGAGTTGCTTCAGAGAGCTTCAGAGAGCCACGTGTCTGGGAGGCAACTAGGAGCTCACTGACATATGGTGTATACTAAGTAACAGGTGGCATTGATTGGGGCCCACTCCGACTTTCTGGCACCAAAGCAGTTGGTATAGGAATCAAGGTGGCAGACTACAACCCTGAGAAAAAACTGGAACCAAATTTGTTCAATTGCTTCCAAAGGCAGTTCCAGCTGTTTTTCCTGCAAAGATGACAGTTGCTAATTATAACAGGCATGTTAAGAACTAATCAATTGCAGTCAGTGTGTGGCAATTAGGTCCAGAAAAGAATTCACCTCTAGTTCTGTTGTTTCTTGCCTGTTCATGAGGCTATATTTTTTTCTCTAGAATTTCAAATGTTTTCTCTGATCAATCAACAAAATTACAGAAGTTTTGTTTGTTTCTTCTTGTTTAGACTGCAACTGTCTTCACTCAATAAACCTTACTCAGTGCCAAATCTCGTTTTTTTTTGTTTCTTTCCAATGTTCCTTACAACTAAGAAAAATCCAAAACTCTATCAGCCTCTTTTTGCCAAAAAGTAACAAATTGCCAACAATGTCCAACAGTTTTCCCTGACAACTGAATTTAAAAAAAAAGCAATCACCAGAAAAAGCTCTAGTAATATCCCTATCAAGCGTGATCTTAACCGTTGTTTTTCCTGTTCACCAAACACCGAAACACAATACCAATGAGATCTCCCAACAACGATGTAACAATCAGACGACCAAGTGGATTAATGTTGCAAGCTTCCTATCAGATCTTGCTTTTTCATGTCATGGGCTCAGGTGAGAACTATCAGGAGAGACATTTGAGCCACCTTCTACTGAGAGTGATTGCATCCTGGTCTCCCTGACAGGTTAATCTCCTGTGAGTAAAAATGAACACTTAGCAGCTGGTCTTTTCCGGAAAGTGTGATGTCACAACCATAACGTTGGCACTACTGGCGCAGATGAAGGATTCCCATATGCTAGGTAATTCTCATACATGTAAGATTGCAGGTAGGTGAGCAGCATTCAGTTATGTGAATTTTTTTTTTTTTTTTTTTGATAATAAAGAAAAAATCAAAATACATGTATCTGCAATGTTGCAGCAATCTCATCTAATTTCCAGAACAATGTAATGCAGAATGTACACTGCCAGATAAAAGGCAGATGCTGAGTTAATAATAAAGCATGAAATAGTTCAACTTCAAGCCTTTTTCATGTCACTTCCACATGCAGTGAAAGAAATGTGTAAATCAGAAAAAAATCCTTTTCCGTAACAGATCAGAATTAACTCACTGGAAGTTGAATAAATATAGTGCAGAGACAAGCAATAGCTTTTACCAGCACTCTCCCACATCACTTCTGTTCTGTTCTCTCTCTCTGCCTCTACAGACTTGAAATAAAAACAACCCAGCTGTCACTCTACATAACAGAGGCACAACTGACGAAGTGGCTTGCTGAATTTTTCATTGGAAAAAATCAATGAGGCAACCATGAAGGTTGGCATAAAAACGACCATCCAACCAATTTGAGAGCTAAACAATATTCTCCCTTGCTGCGCTGTTCCAGAACTGCCTGAGCAAGAGATAGAAGAGTTCCAGAGATTAACACCAAGAGATGTCTGAAGATTACCTAACTAAGGGGAGATTAGCCTCAAAAATCCAGCTGGATGCTGCTGGTTATGTGTATAATAAAGATTGGCAATCAAATGAGCACATGGTATGTTCACTTATGGCTAAGATAACTGTATTGACTGGGCAGGGATAAATTAAGAATTGCAATCAATATGTGGCTTTGTAAGCCACTGATTCTTAAACTGCTTGCCACAATTGACTAAGGATGACCACTAACTGACAATATAAGGAACATTTAACTATGCATCAGCTCACAGTGGTAAATTAGACTTAAGCCATACGACAAAAGATTCAACATGCATATAGAAAATGAGACAAGCGTTTTATATCTTATAGATGAAAACGCCAAATCGATTGATTAATTTTAATAAAACTGTTTTTCATATCTTAAACAAAATATTGGAAGCAGTAAATACAGAGGTGGAAATAAAAACAATTGCTATAGTATATCAAGTGAATAAGTGTTCAATTATCACAGAGTAGGAACAATATTAAGATCAATGAAAATATCACCTGCTTCTACTGGGCAACTTTTAAGGGACTGGTTAAGTATTTTTAAAACTCAATCCCCTATACTCACTCAGATAAATCATCTAAAAATACTAGTGCTGATACAAGCGGTGCAAAGCTGGTTTTCACATCTTCAGGTGGTGGTCGACAGCAGGGGGGCAGGGACAAGGAAGAGGTGCACATTCAATCTTCACTTTACTGTCTCACCATGGGTGATGATATTTGCCCATGTTTACAAGAAAGCGTGTTTGTAACTAGCCAATCACTGATGTGAGTGAAGAATACAGTTGGGTGAAATTGCATAAACTAAGGAATCGAAAGCGTTTTTATCTATAGGAGGATGCGGCAGTAAATAAAACTGCTGCTCAGCACCACTGTTAACATTTTGAAAAAGGTTTCAGACAAGAGGCAGCATATCCAATGGATGTCATTTTAAACAGGGGGAGAAGAAAAAGCTCACATCTAGAACCTAGACCCCTGAAAACAGTTGTGCTCCTCTCCAAATTCAGACACTAGATTTGATACATATGAGGCTTTTATTAAAAAGTTTTTCCAACAAATTCTTATTTTAAAAGAATAAAAATTTCAACAGAAGATATCTTGTCTATGGTATTTGCCTAAGGAAAACAATATAAGTCAGAGGTCAATAAAGACCATCAAATTTAATAAGTTTGACAATTGCCTTGTACAAATTAAATCACATTAAATTACATTAATATCTATGAGGTTTATGTAATAACCGAATCTGATTTCTTATAAACATGTTTGCAGCATAAGAAAGAGGGTTGTATTGCATTGTAAGTTGTATGCTTTCTGTCAACTTTAACCCCTGCCTCTGTTTGAACAGTACCTTATCCAACTTAATAGCACAGAGCTTACCAAATATTACCAATTTAGTGGGATTGGCTTGTGTCTTAAATACATTTGTTAAAGCAATCTTTAATCTCCTAAGATTACATATCAACAAACTACACTTTTTTCATTCACTTGACTGAGATGGATTATTTCTACACACCTACTATGGAAAAAACAATAGTGTAAAACTGCTAAGTTTTATTTCATCAAATGCCTCCTTTTATGCATATCTGATTACTCTTGCATGGATTGAAAATCTTTGACTTCAGCAAAATTTGTTTAAGTTCTCAATACCTGTATAGCAACTGCTGTATATGAACAGGTAATTATATATTTACATTAAGTGGTTCACCACAGAAACAGATTGCCTGAATCAACAGCAGCAGAAGCAGCAGAAGAGTTTGTGTCAGATGCTGAGAAGGGGGGTGGGGGTAGATATCCACAGGTTTTTGACTTATCTAAAATTCAAAAAAGCTACTGTGAAGTACTACTGATAAAACTATAAAGAAATTTTAGGATAAAGCGATTGGAATATTTATGGATTCCATATCCATTACCAAAGAAATCTGCTCTCAACCATTCTAGCACTAGGATTAATCACTCCTAGAAATCCAGAAATTGCATAACTGGCTTTCAAGTTGTTCATATACTTATGCATTAATCTTTACAAGCTGTACATACAAAAATTCATTTTAACACCACAATACTGATTTACAAATACTTGAATGTGCTCCCAAAAATGACATTGGTTTGACACAGATTGAAACACATACATATGTAATCGAGTATTTGCCTTTAAAATCTGTTCGCTACTTAAACCTGTACAAACACCAGGGTTGTACAGCCTATTCTATTTGGTATTAAGAATTAATCTTGGTAATTAGGATGTATAAACAGATGCAACAGGAAGAGAGCCTGGTGAACCCAGTCATCTATGCTGTTTAAACTGACTTCAAGTATCGTGGACATGTGTCATGCAATACAAATACTGATTTTTACACCTGAATAAAGAAAGCTTTATTTGGAATTACTGAGATTGTGACAAACAGGTATTAAAATAATTGAAATCAGGGGCAGATCCAGAGATATTTTCTGACAGTCTTCCAAATTATCTTTGTTGATCCAACCTCCATTTTTGACCGTCTTCCAACAGAAAAAAAATAGATACCCGTCAATGTAAACTTGAAAATCTGACCGTCTTCCGGAAGACCCAGAAGACGGCCTAAATCCGCTCCTGGATATATAGACTTGGTGGTGGAGTATATTTATAGAAAAAACTGATATACATATTATATGTATAAATTGAAGAGTTCTAACGCAGCTTTTCTTTTTCTTTTGGATTAATTAATTTTATCATTGAACTTTTGATGTAATTTCACACTGTTGCAAACATCTCAGTGATGTAGTTGGTTACAGTTACGAATTCCAAATCCCCACATTCCCTCTTAACCCAAAGTAAAACAGTAGTACCATAAATAAGAAGTTGTATAATAAATAATTTTTTGCACCTTTGTATAAACAAGAAATATGCTGATTATATTTCAGATCAATACTTGCTTTACTTAAGTGGTCGAATCAGAAATTATTTTGAACAGAAGCAGGCCCAATGATTAATGTTAAAGTTTAGACCAACATGCGAGTTCGAGTCATTTTGTGTAAACTGCCCCTATCCTCCGAGACATTTTCCCCTACTCCTAAGCTAAGCATGGGGCACAGTGAATGGGACCATCTCACCTACTACAATGGGTGAAGAGAACAGGTGCTAATTGTTCTCACCCTGAGTTTCTGAGTATTGCACGTGACTCTCTTCTTTCCACCCAGCATAAATAAGTGCTCTTTCACCCTGAGTTTCAGAATGCAATGGTAACTCTGCCTTGTACCCAGCATATGTTTTCTACTGATCACCTTCATAATACTGGTAATGCTGGTTGTAAAGATATACCAATTCCAAATTAACTGTGAAACTTGGGGTACATGTACCCCTGCCAGCACATAGTACAGTCTTCTACATATCACCCTGAGTTTTCAGTGTTATAACAGTTACCCATCAATACATAGTTTTTAGTTTAGGATTAAGAAAAACAAAGTCAACTTCCTGTTAAATTCTCGAACACAAAAACTCAGTCAGCATCAGTTGACACAAATGAAAGGTCTTTAATGTCTTTATAAACAAACAAAGCTGGGTCAGAATTATTATTGATAACAATAACAATGACGGCGCTAAGATCAATCAACATATGTGGAATAGTTTCTATACTGCTTACATGGTTTAATTTGCCTGACAGGGCCTGTCCTATTAATAAGATTCTCTATTGAGGCCTCATTTATCAGCTTGAATGCATCTACCTACTGGTCCCAGAACACATTTACATGTACATCAGATCTACAATTCACTTACAATCCAAATTGCAATTTACATGGACGTCTATGTATGTCAGAGATAGAGAAAGTTTATGCTGAAAAGGGAGGAGAACTCTCTCTCTCCTCTGAATGTCCAAAGACTTTGACAATATTTCATAAAATATCCAACACATTCTTACATTCTTTGATTGCAATTAAGTGCTTTTCTTTCCAATAAAATACGTACTCCTAAAGGCAGAAATTCACAAACATGGTACATATACTCATCTTTCTTTAGTGTTGGTGTGTGCGTGTGGTGGTGGTGAGGGGGAGGGGTGGAAGAGAGGTTGACGTACAGGAAATCCAGT